TATTTATCTATCTATCTATCTATCTATCTATCTATCTTTTTTTCTTTCTTTCTTTCTTTTTTTTATCTATCTATCTATCTTTCTATTTATTTAATTGTCTATCTCTATATCTATCCACCCATCCATCCATCCATCCATCTATCCATCCATCCATCCATCTATCTATCTATCTATCAATATATTTCTGCGTGTTTTCCCTCCTATTTGTGAGCATATTTAGCATATGATTTTGTAAGAATTAGTTTCCTCTGATATTTTTATGTTAACTGAAAGGGGATGATTTTTACATTGTCTCAACAGCAATATCGTAATAACATCATTCAAACTTCATCTTCGCGTGATTGTTTTCATCAACCTGTCTCACGTAATATGAAAACCATGGCAATAGACTTGTCCTTTTGATAAGTTGTAACTCTGTGCTAACGATGGCGTCTCTCACTGATTGTGTCGACTACGATTGCGGCAAAACCTTTGCAAATCGACCAAGTCAATCGTCCGAAGCTGGAGATTGCGTATATTATGACCGAGAAAACATGACTACAGGACGTCCCATAAAGTGTCCCTGACGTCCTAACCCAGTTGCCAAAACAAGACGAAGCTAAAGGAGACTGGAACCAAACATAAGACCACACTATCTTGATTTTCATATTTACCATCACAATAGAGTTATTGTAGGATAGATTGATACGATCAAATGAAGCGTGTGCGTTCAGGTGGGATCGACCTTCGAATCTTTTCTCACTCGCTTCAACTCCAACAGTAGGCTAGCCAATCAAGTGTGAAACATGCGACAGAAATCATCAGAGCCCGAAATCACAATTCACGGGCAATCTCTAAAACGCTAAACTTTTTCCATCCAAATCAAGGGCATACCAGCCTATATCTATTAACAGATTCTCAGAATCCCGGCTTCCCTTCATAGCTCTCCAACTCAAGTGACGCCGGTTGTTTACAGTCAGCTTAAGTATGTGTATCCCACTTGAACAACGTATCCCATGCTGCGTCGTCTGCTTGTCGTGTCGTGTTATCACCTGCAGAACACAGTTTTCTTCGTGGACGGCAGCCTTCAGTGTGGCATCGGTGAATGTGGTGTGTCCGCTGCGATCATCTCCACCCTCAACTCCGAGGCACAATTTGTCAAGATGACAAGTGACAAATGAAGTCAGTCGTCTCGTTCAATGATGATCGGCCATTTGCTTCTCTTCGTGCCAATTGAGCCAGACAACTGGACCAATCTGTCGAGGATTGTGTTATTCTTGCAGCGAAGAATGCTGATTCTTGGCTGGCAACGGCCTTAAATGGGGTGGGCGTTTGCAAACACACTACCAGCTATGCCACAGAAAGACGACCTATCATACTTGCTGATCTCGAGGCAACAGTCGCGGTGATCACACAGACTATGCCGTACAGGCGTGGACAACTCCGCCCTGTCCGTATACCATTTATCATTCCATCTTGCCTGGCTGGCCGCGCCATCCGGACAATGGGCCGGGCGGCTACAGCTGCAAGCAACAACTGTCAGGCCGCAGATCGCTCCACCCATTGGGCACCAGACGATATCATCTCCGGGTCCCTCTGTCACTTCCAGGCAGACGCCAGTCCACCCTGGCCGAGCCTACAATCTTGTCCACGCGCTAACCCCCATTCGGGTTGGGAACCAACTTCCTCTCGGTTGCCACTCGGTCCGAGGATTGACGACCGGACGAGAGGAGCC